AGAATTTGATTTGATCTATGAAGGCTCCTCGCATGGCGGTGCAAAGTGACATTAACAACTAGTTTCAGTCAATTAAGTTATAATCTTATAAAATAATCTCAGCCAAACATGTTCTAACTAGGATTGGTGGTACATGTAAATTACACACTCAGCATCCAAAGATGCTAGTTCTTCATTTTTATTTTGTATAATTTAAAAATATTTTTTCTTTAAATATTGTGTTACATTTTAATTTATTTTGATATGAACAAACCTTTTAAATAATTATAAACAATTCTGAATCAGAATCTTAATTATATTTTTTTTATATCTATAAAATTTAATGAAACTAAATACTATGTCCATTATAAATATTAAATATTTATGATTTAAATATATTTTTAGTCTCTACAAAATAAGTATATATTAAATTTGGTTTCTGTAAAATTTTTATTTTTTATTTTTTTATCTTTCTAAAATTTAAAATTATTATTTTAATCCCCACAATTACATGACTCTTTTTAATTATATGTGTTCATTGAAGGGATATGTGTCTATTTCAAGTGGTATCTACTGTTGTTTGTGATACTTTATTTGCATGTGTCACTTTTAATTTTTTTTATATATAAATTCTTAAAACAAAGTGTTATATATACACATTAAAATGTCACTAGAGAGAATAAATAGTGACTTTAAATTTCAAAGGATTAAAAATGAGGAGGGTTATAATAATATTGGTGTAACTTTTACTAAATATTATACCGCTCAATAATCTTATATTAAATGTGAATTTTGTAAATTCAATCGTTAAATTGAAAATTCTTTACTCTTAGATCATATATACAAAATTTTATATTAATCCAAGATGATTTGCTACTTCATTCTTATAAAATAAAATTGATGTAATATATACATCTCAAAATATATTAAAATACGAACACGTTGATTACCTTTAAGTTGTTGTTCAATTTTAACAAAATTTTATATAAACATATAAAGTGATATGAACTTTATATGTATATAGACTTACTCCTAGAGTAAACAAATCTCTCCTCAAATATATATATATATATAGGAGGGATCCGATTACTTCGTGAGTAAGTCTACTTAGACTTACTCCATTCAATAACTCATGTTCTACATCAAAATTTAACGATCTAACCGTTGAATTTAAAGTTCTTAATGTATAGATCAAATTTGCAAATTTTTAAAAAATTTGGAAATCATTTGATACTTCATTTCATCAATTCAAATCAATGTATAAAATGATTTTATGATTACCAACAATTTGAATTAATGAAATGAAGTATCAAATGATTTTTAAATTTTCTAAAAATTTACAGATTTGATCTATGTATTAAGAATTTTAAATTGAACGGTTGAATCATTGAAATTTGATGTAAAACATGAGTTATTTAACGGAGTAAGTCTAGGAAGACTTATTCCCAGAATAAACGGATCTCTCCTTTTATATATATATATATATATATACACTAGCTAATTTATTTAATCATAAATAACTTGTCAAAAGTCGGTAAATTTCTTAAAATTAGAAACGTAATATGCATCATTATAGAACACGATGTATTCTGACTTTGACTATAATAAATAGAGAATTAGGAAACATGCGTTATCATTTACAAAATGAATCCGCTTAAGATGTCTTAGCCTTCTAGGACTCTTTCTTTCACTAATGTACCAAAGATAAATATCATAGTTATATTCTTTTACACCGTATCATAATTATATTAAGTTGTTAGTGTGTACACCAAAAAAAATATTTATTTAAAGGAACAATTGACACTGAAGGAAAAAACTGCATTTCAAAATTATATTACAATTTAAAATTATTTATACCAAAAACCCAAAAGTAAAACACCAATAAGCTTGTCTTCTATTCTTTTATTGAGCTAATATAATATGCATCATCAAAGAGTTTTACCAATTGATATCATTTAAGTTTTATAACTAGCTTTAATTAAATTTATATAAATAAATATTTTTAAATATATAAATTATATTTTAAATTTAAATATATTAATTATAAACAATTCTGAATCAGAATCTTAATTATATTTTTTTTTATATCTATAAAATTTAATGAAACTAAATACTATGTCTATTATAAATATTAAATATTTATGATTTAAATATATTTTTAGTCTCTACAAAATAAGTATATATTAAATTTGGTTTCTGTGAAAAGAAATTTCTTTATTTTTTTTTATCTTTCTAAAATTAAAAATTATTATTTTAATCCCTACAATTACATGACTCTTTTTAATTATATGTGTTCATTGAAAGGGTATGTGTCTATTTCAAGTGGTACCTACTGTTGTTTGTGATATTTTATTTGCATGTGTGACTTCAAAATTTTTTTTATATAAATTCTTAAAACAAAGTGTTATATATATACCTTAAAATGTCATTAGAGAGAATAAATAGTGACTTTAAATTTCAAAGGATTAAAAATGAGGAGGATTATAATAACATCGGTGTAACTTTTACTAAATATTATATCGCTCAATAATTTTATATTAAATGTCAATTTTGTAAATTCAACCGTTAGATTGAAAGTTATTTATTCTTAGATTATATATACAAAATTTTATATTAATATAAGATGATTTGTTACTTCATTCTTATAAAATAAAATTGACGTAATATATACATCTCCAAATATACTAAAATACGAACACTTTGATTACCTTCAAGTTGTTGTTCAATTTTAACAAAATTTTATATAAACATATAAAGTGATATGAACTTTATATGTATATAGACTTACTCCTAGAGTAAACAAATCTCTCCTCAAATATATATATATATAGGAGGGATCTGATTACTTCGTGAGTAAGTCTACTTAGACTTACTCCATTCAATAACTCATGTTCTACGTCAAATTTCAATGATCCAACCGTTGAATTTAAAGTTCTTAATGTATAGATCAAATTTGCAAATTTTTAGAAAATTTAAAAATCATTTGATACTTCATTTCATTAATTCAAATCAATGTATAAAATGATTTTATGATTACCCGTCAATTTGAATTAATGAAATGAAGTATCAAATGATTTTTAAATTTTATAAAAATTTGCAGATTTGATCTATGTATTAAGAATTTTAAATTGAACGGTTGGATCATTGAAATTTGATGTAGAACATGAGTTATTTAACGGAGTAAGTCTAGGTAAACTTATTCCCAGAATAAACGGATCCCTCCTCATATATATATATATATATATATATATATATATATATATATATTATTACTCTTGGACTTCAAGTGTGAAGTGAGTTTCACATGAAATGAATTAGAGTTCAAGTGTCAAGCTTGTTTATGTAGCTTACTCACTATTTATTATGTGGATGCTATGGTGTTTGAGCTCCCCCAACCAAACATTTACATGAACCAAAATTGCCTTAGTTTATAGAGACCAAAAACAATTTTAAATGGATAAAAAATAAAGAAAATGTTTTACAAGTACCAAAATTAAAAATATTCATTTTACAGGGACTAAAAACATATTTAAGCCAATATTTATTACATATGAATAAAATTTATAATAAATTATATAAACAAATAATTACTATATTTAAATATATAAATTAATTATATTAAATTTATATAAATAAATATTTTTAAATATATAAATTATATTTTAAATTTATGATAAATAATTTATTTTAAGATTATTTTTTACTATTCATAATTCATTTCAAAATATTAAATTTAATTTATAAACAAATTTGATAAATAAAAATTTAATTAAATAAGAAGTTATTTTCTTTATAAAAAAAAAAGTCCCTCATCAAAGAAAAAATATCCAAAAATACTCTCGTTAAAGAAAAATTTCAAAAAATGCTGTCACATAAAATAATTAATTCTAGTTAATATATTGGGTAGATAGACTTAGACAAGTATATTTTTTTAATATTTTAATATTGATTTTAACGTATTGGGTAGAGATGAAATAAGATTTTAATTACTTTTATTATTTATTTTATTCTATTTTAAAGTTTTTTTTCTACATTACCAAATCATTTTTTCCTTTTAAATACGTTTTGGCTCGATCGAAGGGACACTCTGCTAGCAACTACCACAAATGTATCGTCCTATAAGGGTAAGTCGATGTAGTATGTCATTAGTAACTGAAAAATATGAAAAGTTTAGATTATTTTATTCTTAATTTTCTTTTAATGTATCATAGGAAAATAACAAGGAGTTCTGAATGATTATGTTTCTCCGTAACTGCGTTCTACAGAAATAAGTACTGCATCCATGTTTCAACGGGGCCAAGTGATATATAAGGTTTAATTTTCAGAAGAGTGAAATAAAATTCAAATGAATTTTTACATCTTCTACTCATGATCTCAAAGTTAATCGATCATATGCGGGTTTTTTTTTATTATTATTATTATTTTTTAATATGTTAAAGAACATTTACCTGCCATGGTTTAATTCTAGAACTTGATTTATAATATAGATATAAAATAATAATAAAAAATTTAGATACATACTATATATAAGTTGTTAGCACTATTTTTTAATTCGAATTAAAATTTCAGTTATGCATATACATTATATTATTAAAGTGAAACTCATTTTGATTAAAAAAATAATATTAATGATATCTAGTGTACTTGTAAGATCTGCATTGTCAACTTTTCAGGCCAGAGGTAGAAGAGCTATCAATTCATCATTAAAGGCCTCTTCCAGAACTCTAGCCTCACTTGTGTCAAAGGAGGTAAGAAAATCATACCGAAGCCCCTTATTCAGCACCTTCTTCACAGTCTAAAGAACACTCAAACAAACAATATTTTAGATATAATGAATTTAATGATATCAATAAATTTAAAGTAAAAAAGAAGTGTGAACACCATGTAACTAAGTTTTATCCTATAAAAGAACCATACCAAAACCTTTATAGCAACTCTCTTATAGTATGATATAAATATCATGTGTAAGAAATAAGGTTTCCTATCTTAAACTCAAATATATAGTATTCTACGATGTCCTGTCCTCACATATCTATGTATCTGAGGTTGATCAATTTCGACAACCCATATTTGGCTGCATATATATTTCCTGAGAAAGGTGTTTAATTCCTAGCACATGAAGCAAACACAAACAGGTTAAGAAAAACAAATTACAAATCCATTGAATTGGTTTGAAATTTGAATCAATCCACTAAACAAAATGCCAAGTAGTGCCAACCTTTATCAGCTGTATACTATATGATATCATTTTTCATTACATTATCCTTTCTAATATTAAATATTCTTCTTCATTCATTGCCATAATTTGCTTCAACGGTTGCACAGATTAGCAGTACCCTGTAATTATGATTCTATTAACTATTCACGTGCCACTTTCCTACGCTTGCAGTTTGTCAAACCAAATCAGTAGTGTCAACTACTTGTTACCACCCATTTTCTCTCTTCTTATTGGTCTTTCCTCAAAGTGTTCTCCCATCTTCTAGCTTCTGTTACCACAAAAAAATCAACTGTTTCCATCTATCTTAATTTGTCTATTCTCCTTCCTTTTCGTAAGGTATGAAAAAAGAACAGGATTCAGTTGATTTTTTTTTCCATGGACGTGTTACAAGGAGTGTTTCAAAACCGACAACCATATACTAATACGTGCTTGTGGGGTAGATTCAACAAATTGAAGTAGACTTGTGTTGGTCAAATCTCATGCGAGCAAAGGAAATTCTTGCTTTCATATTTGCTACTTGTTTTTCTGTGCCATGTATCGTTTACATTATGCAGTCAGAATTATTTTTTCAGCTTAGAAAGTTCCTTTTATGTTTTCAAACTCTTGTTAATCATGTGACTGAGAATATTATGCCCCTTTTCAACCCTCTTGTTCTCTCTTGTTAATGAATCCATAGTTTTTGTTTTTTCCCCCTTCATGGCATCTAATTTTCACAGAGAGTTATAGGTGTTGGAGCAAAGCTATGGGAAAACAGTGGTCTCTCTCCAGTGTTATGAATACCCTCTTCTTGTGTTTCTTTTTTTCTTCTGAACTAGTTATGACTAGTTTTCTAAAGGTTGGCAAAGTCTCTCCCGTGTTAGAAGGCTCTCAAATGAATTGGATTGACAGGAAGGGAATTTTCCTTGTGTCAAATAAAGGAGAATTTGGCTTTGGCTTTGTCACCACTCCAAATGACGCAACATTGTTTCTACTAGCAATTGTCCACATGGACAGCACCAAGGTGGTTTGGGTTGCAAATAGGGCACTTCCTGTCTCTAATTCAGATAAATTTGTGTTTGATGAGAAGGGCAATGTCCTTTTACAGAAAGGGTCAAGTGTGGTATGGTCTACAAGAACAAGTGGCAAGGGAGTTTCTTCAATGGAATTGAAGGACACTGGAAACTTGGTTTTGCTAGGGAGTGATAATAGAGTGATTTGGCAAAGTTTCAGCCACCCTACAGATACCTTGTTGCCAATGCAAGACTTCATTGAGGGAATGAAACTTGTCAGTGAACCTGGTTCTAACAACTTGACCTATGTTCTTGAGATTCAATCTGGCAATGTCATTCTCTCAACTGGTTTACAATCTCCACAGCCTTATTGGTCTATGCAAAAGGATAGTCGCAGAATTATCAACAAAAATGGTGATTTAGTAGCTTCAGCTACCCTTAATGCAAACTCTTGGAGGTTCTATGATGAAACAAGATCCTTGTTGTGGCAATTTGTTTTTGCTAAAGAAGCAGATGCAAACGCCACTTGGATTGCAGTTTTGGGAAGTGATGGCTTAATCACATTCTCCAATCTCCTAAGTGGAGGGTCAATTGCCTCAGCCACAAGAATACCACAAGATTCTTGTAGCACCCCAGAACCTTGTGGTCCCTATAACATATGCAGTGGTGAAAAAAAATGCACCTGTCCTTCTGTTCTTAGCTCTAGGCCTAATTGCAAACCCGGGTTTGTCTCTCCTTGTAACTCGAAAAGAACCATTGAGCTCCTCAAAGGTGATGATGGACTCAATTACTTTGCACTTGAGTTTCTTCAACCCTCTTCAAAGACTGATTTGATTGGTTGCAAAACCTATTGCAGTGCAAATTGCTCATGTGTTGCTATGTTCTTCCACAACAGTTCAGGGAACTGTTTCCTGTTGGACAGGATCGGAAGCTTTGAGAAATCTGATGAAGATTCTGGTTTTGTCTCTTACGTTAAGGTGGTCTCAAGTGATGAACACAGTGAAGAAAGTGGAAGCAGCAATATGCAAACAATAATTGTTGTGATCATTGTTATACTAACACTAATTGTGATTTCTGGTATGCTCTTTGTGGCACGTAGTTGTTTCAGGAAAAAGCAGGATTTGCCTGAGTCCCCTCAGGAGGATTCAGAAGATTACAACTTCTTGGGGAGTTTAACCGGCATGCCGATCCGTTACAGCTACAGTGATCTAGAAACTGCAACAAGTAACTTCTCTGTGAAGCTAGGACAAGGGGGGTTTGGCTCAGTGTATAAAGGAGTTCTACCAGATGGAACTCAACTAGCTGTGAAGAAGTTGGAAGGAATTAGCCAAGGGAAGAAAGAGTTCAGGGTTGAAGTTAGCATCATAGGGAGCATTCATCACAACCATTTGGTAAGGCTTAAAGGGTTCTGTGCTGAAGGGTCTCATAGACTTCTTGCCTATGAGTACATGGCCAATGGTTCATTGGATAAATGGATATTCAAAAAGCACAAAGAGGAATTTGTGTTGGATTGGGATGCAAGGTATAACATAGCACTTGGCACAGCTAAAGGACTTGCTTATCTCCATCAAGATTGTGACTCAAAGATTATTCATTGTGACATCAAGCCAGAAAATGTGCTTCTAGATGACAACTTCTTGGTCAAGGTTTCTGATTTTGGCCTGGCTAAGCTCATGACACGTGAACAAAGCCATGTTTTCACAACACTTAGAGGCACTAGAGGCTACCTTGCACCAGAGTGGATCACAAACTGTGCCATATCAGAGAAAAGTGATGTCTATAGCTATGGGATGGTGTTGCTAGAGATCATTGGGGGAAGAAAAAACTATGATTCTAGTGAAACTTCAGAGAAAACCCATTTCCCATCTTTTGCCTTTAAGATGATGGAAGAAGGGAAGGTGAGGGAGATTCTTGACTCAAAGGTGGAAACATGTGAAAATGATGAAAGGGTTCACACTGCTTTGCAAGTTGCATTGTGGTGCATACAGGAAGACATGTCCCTTAGGCCTTCCATGACCAAAGTTGTCCAAATGCTAGAGGGTCTATGCACTGTTCCTAAGCCACCAAGTTGTTCTGTCCTTGGTTCTAGGTTTTACTCAACTTCACTCAAATCCATGAGTGAGAATGGCACTTCTTCAGGACCATCAGATTGTAACAGTGATGCATATCTTTCTGCTGTTAGGCTTTCTGGGCCAAGATAACAGAACGTGTACCATTTTTTTTTTAATTTTTAGTGAGGAAATTGGAATCAAATTGGCATATTTTTATCTACTCTTGTCGTATGGGAATACCATATATCATGTCCTTGTAAAATTTGTTTCTAAGTAACTCAAATTTAGTAATATACACCTTTTCTACGTGTTTGTGCACCAAGATGTTTGTGAAGATAAACCAAAAAAAAATCTTGCAGTTTTGGAATTCTTGTTTAAGAACTAAAGTGGGATAAGTTTTGTTATCTCTTTTGATTTGGAGGAATATTTTGTAAATATGTAGTATGTGAAAGACAAAAATAAGTTTGAAATAAAGATAATTGTGTAAAGATAACTCTATATGATACCAATTCTTTGATGTTGAGATAATGGTACTGTGCAATTTTGACAGTGAAACAGTAGAACTTCAAATCTCAAGGATGACATCCTTCTTTCTTTGATATTAGTTATATATCGGAAAGGACTCTTCAGATCTTCATCAAGGACTATGTAGCTTAGTTGGAGGTAATTAAATAGTTATTGGATCTCTCGTTAGGATTAGTTTCAACAAGGTTAATATAAATAATCACATATTAAAAAAAATGTTATAATTACATTTATTATAATATTAATTGTGTTATTTATCTGAAATTGGGGATTAATAATTAAAATATCTTTTATATGTATCTTATTTTTAACCCTCAGATAAGTATGACTAATGATTATTACTTCCGTTTAACTAGATAAATCTACACATATTAAACCTGTCGACTAAATAAAATTGAGGATAAGGATGATTTAAAGGATGAAAATTAGGAAAATAAAGACACATAAGACGTAAGCTTATAGTGATAAAATGACCTATATATCCTTATATAATTACACCTTAAATCAAGAACTCATTATTTGACTAACAATAATTGTACAACTTCAATTGTTTCCTTAAAGTTGACTTTTATTTAGTGAAATATTTACATCTAGTTTAAGGTGCTGCAAGTATATTACATAGTTTTTTTTAAATCTGTTTCATTCTGACATTTGACACCATTGTCCAAATTCTAGCACAATGGGACAATATATATATATATAAACAAAAAACTAAGTATTGTAACTAACCACAACAGGTTTCCAAAAGGTAATCTTTAATTGATTAACTAACTATAATTATAGAAACTAAATACTTGTAAAAAAGTTTTGTCTATTTCCTAGTACAAATCTGAAATCTCATTTTCCAAGTAGCTCGGTCCTGGTCCAGGGCCAACACACACCCTCCTCAAATGCTTATTGTACAATGATAGTGTGTTGGGCTTTGGGTCCCTTTCTGATCCTAGTATCCAAATACTACATGTTAAAATACATATTCTTTTGGTTTTTAATAAAATATAAGGGAAAAATTCACTTCCTGATTTGTGAATAGAATGTTTAATTTATATACACTGCGAAATAATTTTATACAAATGTTTAATAGGATTTAATTACTTTATCGCGTTATTTTAGTCATTAATACAATATGGTTTTTATTTAATATTTTTGTAAAAATATTTTATATTGACAATATTTATAAAATAACCAATAAAAGTTTATCAATTTGGTAATCAAATTCATATCTCACAAAAACGTGACTTTGAATATCGTTACGGATATAAAGACTTTATTAATGAAATGCTTCTAATTCTTGAACTGTCTAACTCGAATAAGCTTATCTCAAGAATTAAAAGAAATTATAAATTAGATTCATAAAATATCATTGTGCACCTTGTTTATAAATTATGTGTCCTTTCTGGAGGGTAACATTATCTACTTATGCAACTATATTGTTCATAACTTAAGAGAACTTCGTTTATTGACCCATGAATAAGAAAATAGGCAGACAAAGGGAATATATCCTTTGAAGATTTCAAGAATGCATATTGTTCCTACCATAAGTCCGTTGTCATCGTTAGGGTCACCGCATCCGAGGTATTGTCCGCTTTGGCGCTCGTTGGGCCGTCACGGTTTTGTCCTTGAAAAGGCGCCTCGGTGGGCTAAGGAGGAAGGGTGTTTATAAACCTACAAAAAAAATCACTACAAAAAAAATAATTTATGCCTACAGACACTTTTACCTATAGACTTGAATTAGTGTAGGTAAAACTAAAAAAAAAATTTACCTACAAATATTTAATGTAGGTATAACTCAAAAATCTATACCTACTTTTGTTTGGTGTAGGCAAAACTCAATACAACTTAAGATTCTTCTAACAACAGATTGTCAATGTAGGTAAAAGCCTTCAAAAACTTATTACTATAAAAAATTAGTCAACTACACTACAAAAATTTAGTTAATTAGTGGCGATTTTTTTTCGGCAGTTTCAAAAACCGCTACAAAATGTTATAATTCCTGCGGTTATTTTAACCGCCACAAAATAATTAAATTTTGGCGATTTTAAACCGTCACAATGTTTAAATATTGTCACCACGTATACAACTTAATTAAAATATACTTTTATTCTCGTTAAAAGAATAAAAATAAAAAAGAGTTAAAGAATTTAAATTCAAAAATAAAATAAAAAATCCCTAGGGTACCTTCTGCTTCACTTCAATGCATGCTCTGCTTCTTTTTTCGTCAAACCTTTAGCTTCATTTCACGCTCAACACAGTCGTTGGTGAGCCAATTTGCGATGAAAGCATTTCGCTAAGTGTTCTCTACGATGTTCTCTACGGGGTTAGTGATTTCGCAAGAGCTTTTTAATCTTTCTCTTCTCTACGCTGCTCTTCGATTGATTGCTTCCACTTAAGGTGAGTTTTCGATTCATATCCATTTTGATTCCCTATTTTTGCTTTGTATAATGTTTCATTTTAATTTTTTTGTACAAAGGTTTTAGGTGGAACAAATTTTTCAGAGATTACACAAAAATTTACACACTATTTTTAATTCCATTTGTTAGTTCGAAAAAATTCACATAGCTAAACCTAACCGGTTGGAGTTGAGTATCCTAACAGAGTGGCCCAAAGTTCAGTATATAGGTTGACTTGTACCATCTTTGTTTCCTAAAAATGTTTACCAGTTCATTGTATAATTCCAGAATGAACTTGAGGCTGCAAAATCTGAGATTAAGAAGTGGCATTTTTCATTTCAAAATGAACCTTTTATATCTGCTGGGACCACTCCAGGTTAGTTTATGCTTATTATTTTACAAGTAACAGATGTGTTTTTTATTCATGATATGGTTTTGTTAATAGTTGGTTTCTGTGTTTTAAATATATAGCTAAGCAATTATTTCTTCTTTATACTTTCTAGCACCAAAATTGGTGATTAATTATCTTCAAGCTCTGAAATCATTTGAAGAGTCTTTAAGAGAGCAGGTTCAGAATCTAGTTTTTAATTTTTATGCTTCAAATGATCCAATATACGTTGATCATATTTCACTAAGCCATTTCACTTTTCTACTGGTTATTAGCTTGAAAAAGCAAAGAAAAAGGAAGTTGCATTCATTGTCACATTTGCAAAACGAGAACAAGAGATAGCAGAGTTGAAGGTTGGTAACAATATTCTGAACATAAGGTTCTTATTCTTTATAGCATGTGTATGTGTTAATTTATTTATTTATTTTGTGTGTACGTATATCACCAGAGTAGCTTTACACTGGTAATGATTTTGAAGGTGAACTAATCTGTTGAGTCCTCGTGGCAGTTGGGGATGAATTTTGAACTTGTTAGATCAAATTCAACGATTCTCCATGTCTTCCCCTTCAATTCTGAGAAAAAGCGAGACGGTGTTGCTGTGAAACGGGTAATTATTTGATACAAATGTTTTCCAACTCATGGCTTATTTACTGAATCTTATAGCCATTATGATACATAAATATTCATCCCATGCACTTTCAATTTTAACTCTCATTTTTAACTTATTTAATTTACAGAAATAGATTAGTTTTACTTTTCTAATATTGAAACATATCAATTGGATGGTTTGCATCATCTTTCATATGATAATCTCATAAATAATGAATGTAACTTGCTTGGCAGATGGACTCTGCAGTACATATACATTGGAAAGGAGCTGCGGAGATTGTTTTAGAAACTTGTACTCAATATGTTGATTCTGATGGTCACTTGAAATCTATTAAAGAAGAAAAGGTAAGGAACAACAGCTTCATGTGATAGAAAGTTTGTTGAGGGAATTAAAATTATTGAATTGAACCAGGGGAGATAAAAATAAATAAAAAATATGATTTAGACATGGCTGCTCAAAGCTTGCATTGTGTTGCCATTGCATATAGATCGTATGATTTAGACAAAATTCCATCTAATGAGGTTGAATTAGACCGGTGGTCCTTACCAGAACACGAACTTGTCTTCTGTATGTATTTTCCCCTTTTGTAAAACTAATTTACTTTCAGATATTATGATGTGGTAGTTCATTTGTATCTCTTTGGATGTTTTCTGATGACAGGTCAATCCTCACACTCACCAGCTGAAGCTTTGTGACTTTGGGAGTGCAAAAGTTTTGGTATGTTTATTCTCAACCTTGAATTTCTATTGTCTATTTTCACTATCTATCTGGTGCATTATCATGAGTAAATTTTGCATATATTTGACAGGTCAAAGGGGAACCAAACATATCTTACATCTGTTCTAGGTACTATAGAGCTCCTGAGCTTATATTTGGTGCAACTGAGTACACCACGGCCATTGATATATGGTCAGCTGGTTGTGTACTAGGTGAACTATTGCTTGGCCAGGTATTTTGCTTTTATGTTTGATTCTGCTATTTTTAGAATTCATTTATGTGCACTTGTGCAGGAACTAAGAATGAATTTTTATTTTTGTTAGCCTCTCTTTCCTGGCGAGAGTGGAGTAGATCAGCTTGTTGAAATTATCAAGGTAAGATAAATTCTAAAGATTAATAAATTCACTTCGTAAAATGGCATTCTGATAACTGCTTTTTTTGTGTCTTTGCAAGCTGGTTTTTGCTTTGAATGACCTGTTCTTGAATTTATATTAATTGCATAATTTGCATTTACTTGTAACTAGACAGTTTGTAGATATCCATAATACTCCCTTTGTTTTATTTTGTACTTTTGCATTGTTCAGGGCCTTGTTATATTTCAGTACTTCTGAACAAGTTTGGGATTCACATGCAGGTTTTAGGCACCCCAACAAGGGAAGAAATCAAGTGTATGAATCCTAATTACACTGAGTTCAAATTTCCACAAATTAAAGCTCATCCATG